GTTCGACTCCACGCTAAACAACTTTTTTGTCGCGTTTTTAGGGGCGAAGCTCATTCTAGCGGCACCCGTTCGTCCCTCGTAGTCATAGTAGTAGTGTGTAACCAGTCTTACTGTTTGTACTACTACATGGTGCCGGTAGAAGATTTCTTCTGTGCGTTGTTGAACAATAAAAAATTCGCAGCGTGCGGGTTAACTAAAAGCCAAATTCTCCTGTCTCTCATTCTTCCTTAGCAGCCATTGGAGTGCACATCGAGCACTATCTGACAAGAAAGGGTTGCTAAGTTATACTCGCTGGCCGTAACCTCCTTGATTTTAGAAAAACAATAGCTATCGTTGAGCCATAGTGCCATGAATACAATGAACTAGTATATACCATGAACTCGAGGTGGTTGAATGTAGAAGTAGACACGAAGCGCAAGCCGTGATAAAGTGTGCGCGTGCCACCTGTCGTTTAGTCCTTGGAATGTCTGCTGGATGGCGGTGAATGTACGGAATATATGATGAAAAGATGCGAGATGGTGGTACTTAGAGAATTTAATAAACGGACGAACGGACACACAGACAGACGCATGCGAGGACTCACGGATGGCTGTACCGACGGATGGACGCATGGATGGACGCAAGAGAGGATGCATGGACGAAAGCAGGGAGGGACGCACAGATGGACGTGTGGACGCACGAACAGACGCTCGCACGGACGGGCGAATGGACGCAGGGGCGGCCACACAGACGCACGCATGGACGGACGGAAGCAAGAACGAATGGACGGACGGATGCTTCGCTCCACTCTCCATCATTCTCTCCGTGGATGTGCTGCCATTTTTACATCCTTTATGATTTGTTCGTATAGAATTTACGATGGCATATCCGTGCCGGAAATACGACAGCAGAGCAGTGCTGGACGCCAGCATGAAAATATTTCATATTAAAAACAATGCATGATTGTTAAGAAGGGGTCACTCTGAACAAGAGGAATTCCCTTTGACCTTCGGGCTGCTGCTGCCATGCCTGCTTGTCAGCAAGAGCGAAGTAATAAGCCACGTCATGTCGACACCTGTGCGCGCAAAGTAAAAAGAAAGAAAGCTAAAAATGCGTTAGTTGTGCAAGGTTCTTTCATTGTCATTCATATGAGTCATTTCATCCTGTTGAACGATGCTCTTGAATAACCTTTCATCTTCCCTCTTGCTATTTTGTTTTGCACATGCTATCATAGTGCTTATCTGCGCACAGTATTGTCGCTGTCAACACAATTTCTGACGAGGTAAAAGTGCTGGTATTTTATTTAAGTATTACTTGGTCCTACACTGCAAACATGCTATCTTTTTGCCTTGAATCAATACTCAGTCGTTCAAACTCCAGCCTTGAATAGAACAGCTGTTGTTGACCAGCAAGCTAGCGTCCGAATTGGGTAATTGTAAGTAGAATCTTTATATCATTGACATTTTATGCCACTATTTCTAGATTGCACCCACTTTTAAACCGCCAAAATGGTTGTACGCTGTACAAGAATAACACTTCTAGTATTTGGCATACTATTTTAAATTGGTTTCACTGCCCGGTGTATATGAAGTGGAAAATTCACAAGGAAAAAGTTAGTAGGTTTTGAACTTCACAATTGTTTAATTATTATTATAACGTCGGCAATAAGAAGAGTCAAGTAGGGGACCCTGGCAAGAAATTCATTTTCGTGAATACGGAAAACTCAATGGATCCATTTTTTGTATCATTTTCTGGAAGTGACTTTTCGCAAAGCCACAACAACTGCTCACTTCCTGCTTGTGTACGAGACATGCATTTCGTGAACACTCGGATGCTTCTCCCTGTACACCATCTAGAACCTTTCGCTCATCTTACGGCACTTGCGCAAATACTAGGATTGACACAGAATGTTGTGCATTTTACTGTATTCGACTTTCAAGTTGAATGGGTAATCAAAAATTTAGCATTGTTTAAAACAAAATAAGTGTAACCAGGTTTATTCACCAAACTGCATGCAAAAATGGACAGCTGCGCGAGTTGATGTGTATTAATACTAAAGACTGCGGAAGAATATTTTCAACACCAAAAAATAAGAAGTAAAGTCACAGGATGGTACGCAACTAGTGAAACACGTTGACCAACATTGTTAAATAAGCCAAAGCTGACTTAAACTTTAGTTGGTCTTAGCGCGTCGTTCTGTAACGTTCGGTTTACGGGCGAAGCTAATTAAGCCGTGGCTCTGTACATGCTTGTCTCTCTTGCTACGTGAACGTCTAGTTCTATGACTCCCTCAGCTGGTGCGGATGAATGAACAGACAGACAGACAGACAGACAGACAGACAGACAGACAGACAGACAGACAGACAGACAGACAGACAGACAGACAGACAGACAGACAGACAGACAGACAGGACAGACAGACAGACAGACCTTCGCCCCACTCATGATCATTCACTCGGTGGATATGCTGTAATTTTTTTGTGTGTTGTAATTTTCAACTCCTATACGAGCGGGGTCAAGGTTCATTAAACCTTAAGGTATACCAAGTTTTATATTATAATGTGACGAGAATTCAGACACTATTTAGAGGAGTGCTTTTTTTAAATTTAAGCCTGTGCTTGCATAATTTCAAATTGACTTTGCAGCTGTAGTGCCAACCACAATTCCTAATGTGGTACTTTGCCTTGAGCTATAACGTAAATAATTGAAGAGGAATAACTTTAGCTTGCAGATGGCACTGGCTGGCATAGAAATATTGGTGGCGAGAGTCATCAATAAGTACTCACAAGGCCGAATTTCAATGGTGAGGGAAGTATTGCAAATAAGTGTACTAGTTATGCAAAATATAATTATTGTTACTTGTAGTCCTGTGATAAGACCATGCGTAATATTGGTATTACTAAATGTAGTCCTGTGATAGTGCCAAACTTTTCTGAAGCATATTTCCAGATATCTTGTTGTTAGTTTTCCTATAGCTGTGAGAAAATGACTCTAGAATTGCACGAAGTACTCCGAAATGACAGTGGAATTACGGTTTTATTATTTCTACTTTGTCGGTGAATCCGCAATTTATAAGAGCAACGTTGGTATATTTTTGAATCTTTGAACAAAAGTGTGTTATGCAAAACTTAAGAAACATTGTGCAATCTGTGTGAAAACAATTGAAGTTGTAAAACCTTCAGCTTAATTTCAATCCTCATGATTCACAATGAGCCGCTCTCCGGCCCGTTGACTAAGAACCTGCTTGCAACTCGATCGATGCACGCACTCATAAAGTCATCACAATATCCGTGGCAATAGAACTCAACGCCCAACACTAGTTTTGCAATATTTCAGCCTACTCGACATTTAAGACTAATCGAATGAAAGGGGCACAAGGGTCAACAATCCTGAAAAAGGAAGTGGGTTTCTTTATTGTTGCGCTCAAGTGTTTGCGGATGCAATGAGTTCAGCAGACGACGACGGATGTCAGTCATTTTTTTTTTCAAAACTTGCCACGAAGGCTTTTTCATATTTCAGCTTGTTGAATTAATTACAGCTATTTTTTGAAGTGTGTGCGGGATCAGGCGCATCTTAACCAAACACCGCTCTTGATTTATGGGGGCCGTTCACCAATGACTTTCCGCGACATCGGATAACAGAAATGGGACGTACGAGAACAAGCGCGCGCCACTAACAAGAGCAAGAACCAGCCTGCTTTTCGTAAGAAGGTGCCTAAAGGAACACGAACTACGCGCTTCTCTTGTAGACATTACGCAGCGCGCACGACTGCAATACTTGCCTGAGCAGTTCACAGTCATGTCTGCATTCCAAATGATGTGTTGTTTGTACAAGGCTGAGGGGTAAATCCTCACCCCTTTAAAGGTATTAAAGCGAAACATCTATAAAGTTTATAGCGCAAAAGGTCTTATCTAGCACGTGTGCATTGACAAGATGAAGATTTAAAAAGATATATCAGCATTCAATCACAAGTGTTGCATACTAATTTATAGTTATCAGAGAATCCGGGTATTGAGCAGCACGCGCACAGCTTTCAGATTGGGAGCTTCAAAAACTGTGCCCCACATGTGGCTGTACAAAAGATCTGTGTTCAGCAAAATTTTAACATTTGCAACGCATTGAGTAACGTCAAGTTGGCGTCCCAGAGATTTTGACATATGTGCCGTAATGATGACGTCATGGTGTGTCACCATGAGTTGATTATTGTTTTAACACTAAAGTCTTCCATGCCGCGGTTCACCACGGACCTGCTGACGTATTTCCCCTTATAAATAAGACGTTTCAAGATATATACTATCAGACTTCAAAGAATAAAACGAGCCAAACAAGTTCCGCCCTTATGCGTCAAAGCAGTGACCTCTCACTCCGCAGCGACCGGCGCTAGCCATTATACCACGAAGCGTACGTCGCCAAGATAGCTAACAGCAATCTATTCATATACACTATATACCGTTTGGCGGTCTTCAGAGCTACGAAACCTGATTGCGTTTTTGTCATCAGTAGGGACATGGCTCGCAGAACTTGCATTGAGCGCCCTCTATACGTCGTAATCTTCCCCGTTTCCATGAACGAGGGCTTTCGGGGGGGCATGATCTCTCCTGCGCGCACGCTTATCAGGCTCGTGATTGAGGAGAGCACCAAGGACACTTTCCGTGCTGCCGCGGCTGCGTTTAAAAAAGGAGCACGCTGCTCGCACATCAAGAAGTACTCATTTTTTAACACACAAAGTGTTCTCGTCTAACAGAAGGAAAGGCGCACCAATAAGAGCGCACAAGTATGCACAGGACAAGCTCAAAGAACTGTCACAGTGTAGAGCTCTGAGAGTGTCAGTCCACGCTCGTTTCATGCATGATGAATTCCTAAGCGCTTTCTGGTTGAGGTACGAGCTGGAACTTTCCAATTACTTGCTGCTCTTCGCGTGACTTTCTACTTTGTTGCTGTAACATGCATGCCTTCACCCTTGTGGCGAAACAATGCTAATGGTAAATTAATACCCCTCCCCAGACATTTTGCGTACTCACTCTGATTCAATGGCTCCCGCTTGAACGGCCTTCACTAAGTCCAGCACCATGTTCTTCAATCCGACCTTGGTGTTATACGCTACGCAGAGCCTAAGCTTTGCTGCTCTAGAAAGACAGAGAGTGGTATATAACAGTTGAAAAAATTTCACAAGCCCTTAAACACCACCCTGCAAACCACGCGGCCTTCTCGAAGGAACACATTGATGCAACCTCCTTACGGGCTTTCGTCATCGCTGCCGATTTGAAACCTTGCTATTTTCTCCCGCATCTCAATGGGCAGTAGATCAAGGTTGCCCATTGCAGTGACCTTCAAGCGTATTTTTCTTAATGTGTTCCTGCAAGGCAGTATACGCTCAAAATGGGTAAATTGCGAAAACATCAATTTTCGCTACAGTTGCTGCCTTAATCACACGTTATATGTCTCTCAAACAATAAAGAGCACAAATTGTGAGTAGGGCTCGATAAAAAGAAATTTTCTACCCCATGCTCACCACACAAATATGAAAGGCACGGTGCATGAGCCATATGGTGGTTTTGGGACGTTAAACCCCACAAATCAATCAATGGTGCATGAGCCATACTACTACATGAATAGAAAATGTGCCGGAGTTATTTAAACTGAGGTTCTTCCACTGCTGGCCATAGGTGCTTTGTGATTAGCGCACCATCAGGACCCCGGTGTTGCACTTTATTATGACAACAGTTTCAACAAGATTGGCTTCGTAATCGCCCTAATAATTGTGTGAGCATTCCCATAGACCTCGCACGTTGCAAGGCAGCCACACCAAACGATTAAGATGAGAAGATAGACAACAAATTGTCGCACACACCAAAATAATTTTTTGTTATTGAAGCGTGCACAATCCTTAAAACGCAAGATTAGCGTTCAGTAAGCTACGTCTTTACTGCTAACTTGGCGCAGCTGACATCGAGCACCTATCAAGAACAGTGATCTGCGAAGGAGAAATTCGAGACATCAAGTAAAAGCTGCAGGCGTTTCTTCATGGCCTGGCCTGAACAGCGGCACCGCTCACGACAAAGAGCAATGGCCAGCAGGGGGACACCAAGGACCCACAGAGCTACGTCTGTTCACCGTTTGACACCCAGATACCGCTCACAATGGCGATGGAGGCAACGCAACGCACCCCGTCGCTTTAAACGATCTTCTTGGCATCATTGTAGAGACACAACGGCAGCTTGCACAATCATTGCAGCAAAACGCCGAACATCATAAGGTACCCTCCTCTGGTGATACGGCTGCTAGGAAGCGTGACAGCATGGCTTATACAGACATAATGCGTAGAATCTCTTGCAAAGTGGATGCAAGAGCTCTCTATGTTAAACGCTTTAACGGATCTCTGTAGAGCGGTGCGCGACTGGCGTAGTTACTAATTACGATTGGGACATATGGAAGCAGGCTGTTACCGAGCATTTCCAATAGAACATCGGTCTGCAAGAACCTATGTAGTATTCAAGGCTCACTTGTTACCACCCCAGTGGGCACATCGAATCATGCGAGAGGCAAAGAAGTGGCAATCGCACTGGCTGAGTTGATAATCGCAGAGAGTCAATATACAGTGGCTCTAAGGCGACGATTAAGACTTATCAAAAAGGGATGGTGCCCCTCAGACCTTCCGCATTCTCCAAAGCGTCAAGAGTATTACGGCCTATTCTCTCTTGCTTTCCCACACTCCTGGGGTACACTGAGGGCTCTAGCTCTAACCCTAATGAGGGCGCATACGAGGCCCCGTGAGGACTCGCTTACCACGCCACCTCCGCAGTCCCGCTGCCTCGCTAGGAACCCTTGCTCACGTCCAACAAAATAACTAAATACTTCAATGTGCTGGCGACCTATTCCCTGCACTCTAAGCCAAAAGTGGCCAAAATGGGAGCAATGGCTGTTTTTACTCTTTCAAACCGACTGTTACTCTCCGAAAAGACCAAGCGGAACAAGATGGCCGACTTGTTCGAGAATAGGGGAGCAACTGTATTCACCTTAAGTTTGTAAGGGAGCAACGGAAGGAGGAACCGCTGTAAATGCTCTCGTCACGCAACGGTTACTCCCCGGCAGGACACCGCACACAAATATGCATGCCGCCCACATTGATAATCATGGGCCAGATTATTGTTTGTTCTGTGTGCCAAACTTCACCAAACCAAAACAGTGATTTATTTTAGCACCCGCAGATAATAAGATATCAGCGCTGGCTGAACACAGAAGGCCTGAGAATACAGTACGGCAAATACCTAACACACGCAGCAGCAGAATGGAGAGTTGGCAACTCAAAGCGGACCGAATGCCGAAACACGTGCAAAACAACGATAAAAAAGCCTAGACACGCCGTTCGTCCGCGAAGTAAGGGCGTCAAAGTCGATCAAGCACCGAAACACGTGCATAAGGAGCCCCCCCCCCCCCCAGCCAAGATATATCGGAGAAGAAAAAAAAAAGTGGACCCAGACGCGCTTCTCATCAGCCATACACTTAGTAGCACGCTTCTCCGTGTAGTTTGAGGGCAGAATGACAAAACTGCGCCATCTGCGCCCGCACGTCAAAAGTGGCGCTGGTGTAGCAAACGATGCAAGTTACAAAGTAATTTTTATTCAGTGTTTATGTTGACTAGCACTAAATAAAAATTACACTCAACATTTTATATTTATTTATGAGTTTTAGTGTACCTCAGTTTTTTTTATAATTGTATTAGGAGAACACGCTGAAATTATTGCGCTGACGCCTGTGCTGCCACTGCTGGACGTTTTTTTTTTCGGCGCAACTAGGTTCCCGTTCGCACTACTTACTCATTTTCATATGATCTGTGGTTGGCGAGCACATGGACGGGCGAGCTTGTGACCTATGTTTTTATCGTGTGTGTGTGCCGCAGATTTGCGTTTCTGCATATTCGTGATGAAGGTTAGTGTATATTTATCTTTATGGAGCGCGAAGTAGTTGTGGATTTTGCTGCTGGGGGGAACAAACACATCGTAAACACGTCTTCAGCTATCTGCAAGCCTGTTCGCTCGTCGGACAAAAAGGACCGAGCATGCATCAGCGTGCGGGTGAGTGACATTTCCAGCAACATTTAATGCTCTTACAATACATTGTTGAGTGGTTGCGCTATTGAAAGAGAAATGATTTGCTCTTATTCACCGTATCCATTGCTAGCCGTATCGGACCTCTATTACCTCTATTACCGCCTGCATACCTTCTTGCTTCCCCTGTCACCACTGCAGTGCCAGTGTACTTTTGCAGTTGAAAGTTCATTTCCGCAACACTACCTCGCTTGAAAAAACATTGGGGCGGGGTTGTAGCTGCATTCATACTGGCACTTTTCTACCATTGGCTTTATGTAATGTTAACGGCTGAGTGTTGGGGCCTTGGGCCGCATTTTTTAGAGATGTAAAGTGTATGTAAATCAGTAAGTGAACAAATCATTGTCGCATCACTTCACTGGCATAGCCAGGCGGTTGCGCACAGAATTTTTTTAGGCCGGGCGTAGGGAGCCCAAATTGACGACCATATTCGCTTGCCCGGCCTATTCAGATAAGCGGAACACCCCCCCCCCCTCCCCGCACGCCTAAAAAAAAATCTGCCCACATCACTGCGTCACTTGCTTCACCTCTGTGCTGAACGTACTATTTTATAAGCGCACCATCAAGCGAGCAGTTTACATATTGACAGAACAATTGGAGGAGGAATGACCCAAATCTTTCAGATTTCTTTAGTGATGTAAAACCTTAGCAAAACTGAATATTGTAAAAGACAATCATAAATGCTGTATGTTCTCGTTAGCGCTGTCATTATTCTGCATCATGAAATCTTTATGCGCTGTGAAAACTTGGCATGCCGTTGAAGTCACATATCGACGTTAATACCAATCGACGAAAATTTCGACAACCTCAATAACGCCGTTTGGGATTTGCCGCATGCACATAATTCGGCTGATTCCCACTTGGCTGTTCTTAACCTGACTTCACTGCTACCAAATGAAACAATATTTGATGCATGTCTTTTACTTTTTTTTCAGGGGTATGACACAAATTTGGTTATACTGCAGATAAAGATGCTCCCAACGATGCTAAAGTACAGAAAGCAAGTGAATTTTGGTAAGTGCAGACTTTTTGTACTACGTATATGAAAGCATCGCTTTTTAGGGGCAAACTGTGCATGTGTTGGCCAGAGAATAGTTCATTATGCCACATGGTTACACTGGCATTGACAATTCGACATGGCTCCGCTGGCCCGTGTGTGTGCTCACACTGTTACCGTTAAGATAAAATGTTTATGTTTTCATTGCAGGAATTGCTGTTTGTACTAAAAAGCCAACTGCCAAGATTTGTTTACGCTGGTACTCCTAAAAGTATGCTTTCCCTATTTACATGAATTTTGGCTTGCACAAAGCATAACACTTGGGCCTAGATTCACAAAGCTGTCCATGCGCGCAGGCCTTCATAACAGCGTTTCTTGACTTGCCTTTACCCTGTTTTCTGCAGATGTTTCGTGGGTTTAAAAGTGCCACAGCATGTTGACCTTCCCCACTCTGAAATATTCGCGTTCAAAGTTCCGCAAAAGTGGGCTTAACTTTCTTGTGCACCTCTTTGCTAGTTCAAGATACTGAAGTGTTATGCTCTTACTAGAGGTGGCAGTGTTTCTAATGTTTGTATTTCCATCACATTGACCAAGTATGCGATCATGGCTTGACTGGTAGCACATCCTCAACAAATGTCTTTGTGGCACATGTAGAAGGCAGTACAAAATAAATAGGCAGACATTCACACCGGGAGCTAACTTCTAATAATGCTTTTTTTTGGAAACCATGATGTGCTTATTCCAATTTGTCTAACAAGCAGTAACCTGTTTGGCTGTGAACCAACAAGACGTTGAACTAATAAAAGCTTCACATCTTGTTGCTCTCAAATATATATGTATTGGCAAGCTATCTGTGACACTGTCAAACAAAGAATCAGAATATCTGTGCATGCCTTAAGATATATTGCTTCGTTTACATATCTCGTGGCTGTGACTCGTCAACCGAGTGAACAAATGCACCCTAGTTTTCTAAATTTAAAGCATTTTTTGAAGGTAGCACGGTCTACATTTATTTGTCTATAGTTTTGTCCAGCCGTTTGCGTCAGGTACAAAGACATATACTGAAGATTATCATGTAGCCTCTGCAAATGGTTGCTTTCAAGCAGGCTTTGCATGCTTGGCTTGTGCCTACAGGTATTGCACAATTCAAGACGCAGCAGCGTATGATAGAACAGTAGAATCGAGAGCAACTATGTGCACGAGCTAAATAAGTATTTTAACATGAGCGGACAGTACGTGTTATTTGCCACA